CAGAGATTGGAGTAATGTATCTATAAATCCAGGAACACTGAAGATTGCCAGCAACCAACAGAAACTAGGAGAGAGAAGGCATGGAACAGATTCTCCCTCGCAGCTTCCAGAAAAACAACAACAACAACAACAACAACAACAGCCTTGCTCACTGTTTTCAGATTCCTAACCTCCCAAACTGTGAGAGAATAAATTCTGTTGTTTAAGCCATTCCATTTGCGGTAATGTGTTATGACAGCCCTAGGAAGCTAACGCAAATGTCAGATGCTAATGCTACAGAGAGGTCAAGAAAATTGAGGATGGAAAGTGAAAATGTGGCTTAACATGCAGGTAATTGATAGGACAGAGCACTGACAAATAAATATTTCTTTTAAAAAGATCACCTAGGAATAAAAGAAGAGAGATAAAGTGGTAACTAAATCAGAATGCAGTCAGGAAAGGGCTTTTTATATAGATTCTTGGATGTCTCAGTCCTAAAGAGGTGTTCAAGAGAAAAGAAGAGAGAGGAATTGTTGAAAGAACAGGCAGTACAGATAAAAGAAGTAAACCACCTCCACAGAGACAATAAGAAATGACTAAAAAATGGATGAAATGAACAGAAATGTGAAAGTCTTAGCTGATGGTTTTAATTTTGTCAGATAAATTGGAAACAATATAGTATGTTGAGCATAAAAAGGAAGATGGAAAACAAAGAACTGAGAAATAGCTGGGAACTGATCACAGACCCACATGGAAAGGGTGTCTGGTAGACAGCGAGAGTTGCTAAGGAGTACAATTAAGTGGAGATGCATTGATTTTTGATTGATTGATTGGTTGTCAGCAATACTCAGCAGCCTGTTTGTAGGAGTCCAAAATTCAGAGGGTAGAAATGATCCAATGTAACTGCAAAACAAGGACGATGAAACAATAGAGGGAAAAAACATAAAGCAAGAGTCAAAGAATGTGAATATATGTACGTTCCTATATGACCGAAGCATTGTGCTGTACACCAGAAACTGACACATCATAAACTGACTATACTTCAATTAAAAAATGTATTTTTTAAAAGAGTCAAAGAATGGACTATCAGAATCTGTCACTGATTAAAGTGAAAAAGAAATTTTCATTATAGTGGGAAACAATAAACATACTGAAAAAAATGTAAGAGAACTGTCAAACAGAAGATTATTGTCGGAGACAGACATCTAGAAATTTGACAACCTTTCTTTTTCCAAAAATAACTCCTTTACTAGCCAGCAACACTACCTGAAATTCTACCCTGTTATACGTATTTTTTAGGAAGCCTGTTAAAATAATACAAGTATGAAATATGCCGTATTATCTCCTTGAATTGTAAGAGAAGAAAAAATAATTAATATATGACCAGCATCCATTCTATTAGTGTAAATTGCTAGCAAATCACTGGGAAACATAACAAGTATGTATTCTAAGTGAAAATATGGAGAGTAAATAAAATTTGGAAGAAATGTAATCTATTGTGCATAATAAAATAGGCAAACATTTCTTGCATCAAGAATAAATTGCAAGCATTCACATAAATAATCATAATTTGTATTACATTTATGCAGTCAAACCGAGATTTACACACTATTATCTAAAACCTATTAATGTCTCCTAGGGTCCCATGCTTGGCTAATCTCCCAGTATCCTCATGCATTTGCATAGGGACACTCTCACAAATACTCCCAGGTCTTAAATGTGGGAGTATAGGATTCTTCTCTACGTCACCTAGTGTGCTACCATATTTTCAGCCTCTCGGCTCCTTTCCTCAGTGGTCCAAGGCTAAGGCATTTGGCGTTCTTATGGTAAGAGAAAGAACTGGGAAACCAGCAGAGTGAGTCAGATAAGGGCAGGATTCAGACTCTGGAGCTACAATGGTCATATTATTCATCAAATTCTCTTAGTTGGCAAACCTCCTCCGTAACCATTATCTCCTAAACCTTCCCATCTTTTAAGGAATAAGTTTCTGCTAAGTCTATCTTTCTTTTTGGCACTTCATTTTATCCTCACAAAGAAATTTTTAAGAGAAGTTGACAGAGTCCAGAATCCAGTGGGCACAACATCCTCCTACTTAGCTACACATTCTCATTTTTCTCTGTACTTGCCTATTCTACCACTCACAATACTTCTTTTAATGTCAAAAAATACTGCTAGACTGCAGACTCCCTGAGGACAGAATTCACATTTGGTTGTTTCATTGCTACCTCCCTAGTACTTGGTATAGCTCCTGGAAGGAAGTACACTCAATACATGTTAAAGGAATGACTGAAGAAATGAATGGATAACGACTACCCTACTGGGACACAGGGGGATTCTCTCTATGTAAGGCAAATCTAAAAGTAAAGCCATGACCTGGATCCCTCTCTTCCTCTGAAAGTAAACAACACTTTACACCCCTTTCATTGTAACTTCTTCTAATTCCATCACCACTCATTTTTCGCATATCATCTCTACTCATGTGTTAAGTCTAATAAGGACAAGATCACAGACTTATAATATTCTGTATGGATAAGTAAAGCAACAGTATAAACTGAATAGATTCCTACACAGCTGAGTAATTTTACAACTTTAAATATTTAATCAAAATATGCATAACTGCCAAACCACAACATGGCCCATTTTGTAATCTTGATAAATGGTGTGTCATACAAAGGATTTTTTTAATTCTTCTTTGATTTCATTAGAGAAGAGGCTTTCATTTGTAACTCAAGTAATTTCAGATAGTGAGTTGATAGAAAGAAGTAATTTGCCTTTCATGAGAAAATGATTTAATTTAGAATTAGTAAGCAGGAAGTGTGGAATCTCTATTAACTTTACTTATGATTTATTACATATTTTTGCAGGCCTTTCTGGGAAGAAACAGAAAATAGTAACCCTTGATAATTATCATTTTCA